GTCAGGTTGTTTATAATCTATTGCTAGTTTTAACAGTTTGTGTTGAAGACTTTTGGCAGGGGGAGGTAATACTTTTGTTGATTGATTGATTTTATTGGCGGTACTGGGAATCAAACCCAGGACCTCCTGCATGCTCAGCATGCACGCTGCCACTGAGCTATTCCCTCCCCCTGTGTTGAAGACCTTTGAAAGGAAGGAGGAAAAGGTTGGGATAGAGAGCTGAGAAAGTTTTTCTCAGGAGGCAGTTGGAGTGAAAGAAATATTTTACATTTGTGAACAGAACACTACTTTTGGAGAGCTGTGTCACTATAAAACGCTGGGTTCAAGTTGACTCAGAGTAGCTTTATTAAGCTAATTATGAGTGAGAAGGGAAAATTCTTTCTACTGCAATCCAAAAAAATCCATTCCAGTGTAGATGGTAGCCAGCACCAAGAATCTACTGTTAATAAACTGGACTCCTTACTCTTATATTTGAGACGTAAATGAACATATCTTGGATTTGCTTCCCATTCTACCAGCTGTATTAAGTTATGTCTGCAGATTAACACAGACTGATGGTTGGATAAAACTGAAGCAGAACTGCCATGTATTACAAGTGGTGGCTGGCGATAGTCGTAGTGCCTACAGTCATTTGCTAGCTAGAGATGAGAATTCTTTGAGAGGAGAGCCTATTTATTAAATATAAGATATTCTTGATAATAATAGGCTAATACCTAAAAAATGCAGTTTATGTTCTTGGAAATAAAATGATAATTGGCCCATATCCAACTTCATCAAATAGAAACAAAGGGATGTATTGGGGCTGGGGGAAGTCAACTCTGTTTACACAGGTTTTCATAAGACTTTTCTTTTAAAAAGTGTATGGAATGTATCCAAAACAAATAATGTTTTGTTAGATGAGAAGACCAAAAGGGAAATCCTAGAGAAAGGAGGATGGATGATCTTTCTTTAATGTCAAAACTGACAAAGACACATCCCCCCCCCAACTTTTGCTCAAGATAATTTTCTCAACAAGACCCAGATTGTTTCAGTCTTTGCCTATCACCCTTTGAAGCACTTTCCTTATTATTAGGAGTGGGGGCAGGGTTTCCTTTGAGGATTTTTACAGCAGTGAAGAGTTCCTCCTTTAAATACTTTCACATGATGAGAGAATTCCACTTTCAAAGTGCTGTCATCACTGTGGCTTCTCTGCCGTAAGACAGTTTATTCTTGGGTGAAAGTCCTTCTTAGTTTGATTGTCAATAGTGCTCACCTTTCTAGTGGATTCTCTTTCTGTAGAGCTTTTCTTTTTCTGAGAGACTTAGCAAAAGAGCTCAACATTCTCTTTTGTTAACCTGATTGATGAAATTGACTTTTTTTTTTTTTTTTCAAATGTGTTCCATCACATGCAGTTATAGACTTCGGCATGGCTCTTCTTGTCAATCTCCAGCAATTGAAACTTGGGTCACATAGCCAATACTCCATCTTGAAAACTGCATTTCTTCTACAGTGCAAAGCGACACTGAATTTTGGGGTGTTTCGTTTCTCTTCCAATGTTTAAATAATACCATGGTAAACAACACATAAACTATTCCAGTGTCAACAGTTTTCCCAGAAACATTGAAATCTTTTGAGAATCTCTACTCCATGTCACTTTACATTACCCTGCTCAACTCTTGAATGTAGTCTTCTGGAAAATTCTGTGTTTAATTCATGGAAGCAAAATATATAGCTGTATGGTTTAATAGCTCATTTGAAAGAAATTCCCTCTCTTCCCCCAAATTTTTAGTAGGCAATGAATCACAATTATTATGAAAAAATTAGAATTTAGATACCCCAAACAGAATTGAGAGTTTTCTCACTATTATTGCCTAGGGGTGAGCTTCTAAGTCTTTGTGGTTGTTTTTATATAGATGAATAAAAATTTATCTATGTCCCAAACTAGATTACATCATTTACATCACTACTCTTGGACTTTCCCTTTGAAAGGTGGTCTTTAGAAGGTGAGAGGATCCGTATTGTTTAGGATACATTTCTTATCTGCTTTCACCTAGAGGCTCCTAAGAGCAACAGTGTAACTATCAACTAATCCAGACTGACAGTAAACATATTTCTTAAAACCTGCAACTTCCTTCCTGCTAGAGTGTTCAAATGATCGACCTTTCAGTGAGGAAGAAAGTGGAACATAGGAGGAGAGCCCTAGACTGAATCAGAATGCTCAGAGTCTAGTTTTGGCTCTGCCACTTCTGCCTAAGTAATGTTGACATGTAACTTATCCCCCATCCCTCATCCTCATGCTCCCCCATCCCTCTCCTCACTCTCCAAAACACCATGCTAAAGTGAGTGACCTAGATGGTCATCATGCATTTTTGCCATCCTAAATAAATAATAAGGCTACTTCATCTGCATAGAGAGGCTTAATTAGAGTGATTGAGCCAAATTGGAGAGTCCAGTGAGAAATGAGCATTGATATTTCTTAATCTGGTTTGTAAGGAAGGAGTATGATTATATTCTTTCTCCTGTGGGACTCTGTTGTGTACTATAATTATTCGTCTTGGTTCCTTATTTAAGGCTGATTGAAAATCAGTTTAATAACCATCTGAGCTGTGCCTTTATGCTATTCACTATGGTAGGCAGTGAGTATGTGCAAGTCAGTGCCTTCAAAGTGCTCACTGCCTAAGCAGGGAAGAAAGCATGAAAATAAATAAATCACGAAACTAGTATGGTAAGTAGAACAAGATAAGTATACATAAGATGCAGGGGTAGCATGGGAAATTTATGTATTTATCAGTACTTATTTTATTATATTTTAAATTAAAGGACAGTCAGTTACAGTGTATCAATTTCTGGTGTACAGCACAATGTCCCAGTCATGTATGTACATATATATTCTTTTTCATTAAAGGTTATTACAAAATATTGAATATTTTCTGTGCTATACAGAATAAACTTGTTTTTTAAATTTATTTTTATATACAGCAGGTAACATTTCCAAATCTCAAACTCCCAAATTTATCCCTTCATACTCTCTTTCCCCAGTAACTATAAGATTGTTTATTATGTCTGTGAGTCTATTTCTGTTTTGTAGATGAATTCATAGTGTCCTTTTTTTTCCTTTTCTTTTTAGAGTCTACATATGATGATATCATATGGTATTTTTCTTTCTCTTTCTGTCTCACTTCACTTAGAATGACAACCTGTAAATCCATCCATATTGCTGCAAATGGCATTATTTTATTCTTTTTTATGGCTGAGTACTATTCCATTGTACAAATATACCACAACTTCTTTATCTGGTCATCTGTCCATAGACATTTAGGTTGCTTCCATGTCTTGGCTACTGTATATAGTGCTGCTATGAACATTGTGGTGGATGCCTCTGTACCTGTTTTAAATTTTAGAAATAGGAAAATGTGTGTGTGGTAGAGGGAGGGAGGTGTTTTACGGTAAATTTTTTAAAAATTAAAAACTCCTAAGTGTATATCTGTTTAGTATTGCATCATATATGTCCCCTCATAGTATTAGTTGCTATAAACTGTAGTTAAATGAGTTATGACATGGAGGTTTAAAAGAAAAAGAGTGTTCTTTTTCTTTTCATAGGTCAATTATTTTTCAGTGTCCTAAAACATCACCATTAAACTTTTCTTTAACAATTGACACTTCTGTCATTGAACAAAGAAAAACATCTACATGTGTCAAGTAATGACTAACAACCAAACACTGTAGCCTAAAATATATTCAGATACTCTTTGGGATTTAGATAATGGGGAGAAACGGATTTTCTTAAGGATACTGATGTTTCTTAGCATAAGTAATTTTTGTGGAATATTATGATATATCTACAAAGTAAGGGTTTTCCTGGTGATTGTAGCAATGTTGAATTCAAATCAAGGAACTGGAAAATATTTAAGCCCTGGGTATTAAATCTAGCACTGTGAAAGCGATTCTGTTGCATAGTTGGGGATGGGGAGCTTGGGGGAATTTAGTATAAAACCTTGGCCTGAGCTAATTTATTTGAAACCAGAAATTATATTGTTGAAATTTGCATTCTGTTTTCTTTCAATAGATGTACTAACACAAAGCACCATATATTTTTTTAAGGGCTTCCTCCTTTCTACAGGAATAAATTTGGCTTCTGAAAAAGAAAAACAAAATTGCGTAAGAAGTTCAGCATCAGTGCACCTCTTTCATCATTTGGGTTCATCTCAATAACTCCAGACATATTTTCTGGAAACATGTAAAAACATACCCATAAGTACTGAACGTAAAACCTGGCTGTACACCCGTAAACATATTTGCAGTCTTATGGTCCACTTACCACTGAGTTTCTGGAATCTGTGTGCATATTTTAAAAATCACTAGAATAAGTGAAAATTGGAACAAGAAATTATTTGAGAGAAAGTGCTACCTGGAGATGCCTGAGGAACACTGTTCTATGACTCGCTTTATGAAGTGAGTGAGCTCTTGCCCATCAATGCTTTCTGGATTACCTCTGTCCTGAGAAATTAGGTTAAGATGGAAACAACACAATATCTTTAAAATGTTTTATTCATCCAAACTAAGTACTGAAAAAGCACGGTTCCTAAAGAGGCTTGGAATAGTTGAGAAGTTAACAACCAGACCAATTGGATTGTATTTTCGAAAATGTCACACTGTAAGACTTGTAAAGCTTTAGGACCATACCCGGTGAGTCTGAAGGTAAGAGGGAGAAGAGAAAGTGGTGAGAGAGACCTTTTTAAGTTCAGGGATGCTCTAAAAAACTACCGGATGGTCTAAGAGAGTTTCATGAAACATAAAACCTCAATGCAACTGTAATCTGAATATGAGGAAAAGGTTATTTTTAAAAAATAGTTGCACTCTTGCAAAATATATTACTGTTTTTTTCAGGTTGAAAAAGTTAAGCATGATGTATATACTAAGGATTTCCATCCTGTGCTGAGTATTGTTTTTAAAATTGCATTCTAACCCACGGCTTTGTATCTCTCTCCTCTCTTTTGGTTCTTGCGCCTGCTCTGCCCCAGGCTGGCCTTCATTCCACGACGTGATCAGTTCTGACGCAGTCACATTCACAGACGACTTTTCCTACGGGATGCACAGGGTGGAAACCAGCTGTTCTCAGGTCAGTTATCCCCACCTGAAAACACAAAATGCTGCTCATTCCGCATTACAAACACTTTCAAGACTCCTGGTTGTGCTAAATACAGCAACTAAGGCCCAGTGACCCATCACAAAAGGAACAGACAAGCACAGTGCAGTCTCTATCAATCAAGCCCTATCATTAGGAGTTTAGCAAGTCCAATTAAA